GTGAGTGTGTGTGTGTGTGTGCGTATGTGTGTGGGTGTGTGTGTGTGTGTGTCTGTGTCTGTGTCTGTGTTTGTGTCTGTGTCTGTGTCTGTGTCTGTGTCTGTGTCTGTGTCTGTGTCTGTCTGTGTCTGTGTCTGTGTCTGTGTCTGTGCATGTGGCATTGTATGATAGACGATGTAGGGACTGCAGGGAAGATTTGTACTATGGGATTGTGGGTTTAGGGTTTAGAGTGTTCCGGCTTAGAGCTGCAGTCGTGGCTACGATTCCGTTTCCCGCCTTTTCTTACTGACTCCTTTTACTTCGGAAACTTGTATTTGGGGGTTTGGGCCTCTTAATTGGCATTATCCCAATTCGTAGCACTACCTGCAACCTACTGACTGAGTCCGCTGAAATGTGAGTCTTGCTTATCGCTCATACTGGCCCATATCAACACTCCAAAAAGTATACTCAAGTACCAATATTCTACAGACCCTTGCGTGCACTCACCAGGACGCCTAATTACACGACCCCAAACCGTAAACCCCATGCCCTAAACCCAAAGGCCCTAAATCTTAAGAGTCCCTGATGAAACCCCGAATGTACGCCCACCAATGTTCAACAGGAGCCTTACATACAGTTACCCCACTAGTACAAACCCCTTTTCATGTCGGCAAAATCAATGTATTCGGACCGGCTTGCCGCTGCCCTTCCCATACTGGTAATGAGTTATAAGCCCTCACTCCACCAAGTAAAAGGATTAGTATCTACTGCGCTGGAAAGACTTGCAGTTCGAACGTAGCCACGGCACACCCTGTAGTTGCCAGATGAGACCCTTTCCATGACCTACCCCCCTGGAGAATCGTGGAGCAGCCCCCATGCCGTATGAGACTAATGATTGCTAATGTCGCAAAGACGAATCAAAAGAGCAAGCGCCCGAAGACTCCGACGCAAACCCTAGCCTTTCCCCTGTCATTCTCGCGCCTAGCTTGCCCAACGCGCTGCCACCTGAAATCAAGAGAAGTTTCTGCGTCATTCGAGAACAATTTTGTTGGGGTTCCACGGTTTACGGCCATGGATTTCAGCAATTGGGCATCCAAAAACTTTGCTCACACATCCTGGCTCAACTTGTCTAGTGCTCTATAGGGCTTCGACCGAAGGCCTGCCTGCATATTAGAGTATTTGTTTAATGCAGGGTCCCTTTTGAGGGTCCCTTCCATGAGGCTGTCGTATTATTTTGGGACCCAAGAAGGGACCCTCATTCAGAAAACTGCCCGTATGTCACATCTGTTTCTCTTTGGACATGCCCAGTACGGTGAGATTGAGGAGTGGACATCTACCCAAGTGTTGCAATCCTCTGGCCCTTGACCTTGATGATTAGAGTATGGTTTGGGGTACATTATACGATGATAATAAGAGTTTTGGTACTGTTCATCTTCTATACTATACCCTACAGTCGCATGCAGCACTAAACTCTAAACCCGCAGTGTGCTTTATTACAGCTTCCCGCCAATTTGACTCTACCTGCAACTGTCTAGATCACCCACAAGCCTAACTTATAGGGGAATAGACAAGGGAATCGTACGGGAGAACCTTACAAGTATGTCAATGTGGGAGTTTCCGAAAACAAGGGGTCCTTATTTTTGG